GGACGTGGGGCAGGTGGAGGTGGGCGATTATTTCTACCTGCAGCCGCTGCCCACCAAGCGGCGCCGGGCGCTGCTCCGCGCCTCGGGCGTGCGCAGGATCGATGCCGAGGAGCGGCAGGAGCTGCGGGCGCTGCGCCTGTCCCGCGAGCAGTGCGGCTGCCTCTGCCGCCTCACCTGCGAGCCGCGCACCTGTGCCTGCAGCCAGGCCGGCATCCAGTGCCAGGTGAGCCGCAGGGTGGGGGCCAGCCTGCTCCTCCTGCCTGTGCTCTCGCTCCTTGAGGAGTGGGGAGAGCCAGGTGACCTGGGAGAATGGGGGACAGGTGGCACTCGAGGTTGGCCGGGTGTTGCCCGTGTCCGCACTCCTTGAGGGGTGGAGAGTGCCAGGTGAGGCTGGGATTTGTGGTCCAACAGGTGCTGGAATGCTCTTGTTCCTTCAAGGAGCAGGAACAGCTCCAGGTGTGTTTTGGGAGTATCTGGAATGTGTAAACCCCTCTCCCCACTCCAGAGCCAAATTCCTGCTGTCCAGGTGGGATCTGGGATCACTCTGGGGTAGGATTCAGGCTCCGGGGGGATCCTGTGGGGTCGTCCACATCTCTTCCCAGTGGAGGCACCTGGCTGGGATAAGCCCCCTCCACGATGCTTGGTGTGGGATTGGGGTGCTGGGAGGGCTCCCACAGCTGTGCCCTTGCCCCAGGTGGATCGCACGTCGTTCCCGTGCGGCTGCTCCCGGGATGGCTGCGGGAACGTGGCCGGGCGGATCGAGTTCAACCCCCTGCGCGTCCGCACCCACTTCCTGCACACCCTGATGAAGCTGGAGCTGGAGAACCGGCGGGAGGAGGAGGAAGAGGAGGGAGCAGCCGCCCTCCCTGGCCCCACCTGGCCGCCCCCACAGCCCCCTGAGACTCAGGACTTCCAGGAATACCTGGCGGAGAACGAGCGGGCGGTGCTGCACCTGCAGACAGCCGAGGAGCTGGAGAGGCTGAAGGCTGAGGAAGACTCTGGAAGCGGCTCTGGGGGAGAGGGGGGTGGGGTCTGTGTCCTGGGGGAGCACCTGGATGACACCTGGCAGGTGAAACCACCCCCGTGCCCCGGGCTCACCTCCACCATCCTCATCCCAGCCCAGTTCCCGCTGGAATCTTCTGTCCTGTGCTACCCTGCCGGGCAGCCGGCCCCGGGGGGCTCCCAGCCTTACCTGCCCGATGCACCTGGGCTCTACTGCCAGGTGGAGCCACGGGTGGGTGCCAAGGGTGGGAGTGGCCACATGGAGCATCCAGCTCCAGCCTCCAGCCCCCCTGGGAAGGAGCTGGGGGTGCCACCTGTCCCTGCTGCTGTGAGCAAGGGAGGAGCACCCCAAAATCTCCCAGAGCACCTGGAGCACCCCCACCTGCCCATATGAGTGGCCTCAGGCCCTCTGGCTCCATTATTTATTCCATGGATTGATTATTTAGTTTGGTGGGGGCTGCTCTGGACAGAGGATTTGCCTGGCACAGGGCCAGGAGTCCTTCACTCACCTGACAGAGGTCACCTGTGCCAGGACTCACCTGAGCTGGAGCCTCCTGGATCCCATGGCAGCTCTGTCCCCCTAGCTGCCTCCACTTTCCTTATTTTTAAGGGAAAAAGCCTTTTTTCCCTAACTCTTGTCTGTTTAATGAATGTTTCACCTGGGCCACATCCCATCCCACCTCATCCAGGTGATGCTCCCTCACCTGCAGCTGGGATGGATTGGGAAGCACCTGGAACTGCCACAGGAGACCCAGGACTGGAATCCCCGAACTCATCTGGAAAATTCTGGGGAGTTGAACCAACTTCACCTCCTCGGTGGCCTGGAATTGATCACCTGTACCTGTCAGAACCTTCTGGAATGTTCATTCACTTGCTGGGAGATCCTTCCAGCAGCTGTTGAGGAGCTGCCCTTGCAAGGACCAGGATTTGGGGATGTGAGGCTGCCGGAATGTCCCTGCCCCCACCTGTGATCCCGGCCCATTCCTGGTGGGCTCTGTGCATCCAGGTGGTCCTGGGCCGATCCCTGCAGGTGTGCACAGGTGTCCCATGGATGCAATGTCACCTGGCCCTGCCCTACCTGATCCCTGAACTCTCGGTTGGCTCCTTGCCCATCCCAGGTGAGCTCCATCCATCCAGGTGAGCCCCACCTGGCTGTGTTTCCCAAAGAACCTGTCCTGCCACTGCAGCACTCAGGATCCAACCCAGTGGCAGCAGGATCAGAGCCCTGCAGGTGTGCACAGGTGTCCAGCTCCTGCTATCCCATGGATGTACCGTTCCTGGTGAGCCTGACTTTCAGTGAGAAGGAGCACCTGGAACTCCCTGTGCTGCTCCTCAGGTGCTTCCTGCTCACCTGTGCTCCTTCTGGCTCCGGGCATCTCCACTGGCATCAAACTGGTCAGACTGGGATGGATTCAGGTTCTCCAGGTGTGGAGTCTCCTGGAGAATTCACCTGGTCCTTCCAGCCTTTCCTTGGGCTGGGATTCATGGAAACCCCGCCTGTGCTCCGGACCTTCCTGAGGCTCTGGGATCTGTCTTGGGGTGAAACTTCTCATTTCTGGGGCTTTTCCCTCTTTTTTGGCTCCAGCCAGGTGAAATCAACCTGGGCCAGGAGCAATTCCAGCCTGGGAGGAAAATCAGGATGTGGGGTGGGGCTGCTGCTCTCCAGCCCAGCCCAGGTTGGGTCTGTGCCCTTGGGATTTGCTCACCTGCTCTTGGATTGCTCTTGGATGCTCTTGGATTTTGGGATCTGCTCACCTGCTTGGGCCTGTGCCCCAAATCCTGCATTCTGCTCGCCTGGACCCTACAGATTGTGGGATCTGCTCTGGATCTGCTCACCTGGACACTCCCAGACCCTGGATCTGCTCACCTGGTCTGGTCTGTGCCTTCAGGACCTGCTCACCTGGATGCTCCCAGACCTTGGGATCGCAGGGACCCAAATCCCCCAATCCAGCTGCTGCCACCCCTTTATTTTCCTGACTTTTTTTGATTTCACCGTTGGCTTTTCCAGCAATTTTCCCACACTGGGGTCTGACCCCCCAGTTTTGGGGGTTGAGGGTCCCCTGGTGTTCCTGGGGGGGGTCACCTGCCCCCCGTGGGGGGTTAAAAAGGGGGTTCAGGAGGGGGTGAGGGTTTAAAAGGGGTTTAAGGGGGCTCAGAGTGGGATTTTAGGGGTTATGGTGACATTGAGGGGTTTTTTTGGGGGGGTTGAGAGGGGTTTTTATGAGGTTTAGAGGTTCAGAGGGGTTTATGGGGGGTTAAAAGGGGTTCAGTTGGATCTGAAGGGGTTGGTAAAGAGTTACAGGGTCTTTTAGGAAATCAGGGGGTTCAGGGGGGTTCAAGGGTGTGAAAGGGATTTCTTTAGGCATTTGAAGGGAAGTTTAAGAAGGGCTTTGGGGGTTTGGAGGAGTTTCAAGGGGTTTAAGGTGGTTTAAAGGGCTTTTTTAGCTCAAAAGGGAGTTTAAGTGAGTTCAGAAGATTTGAGAGGGTTTAAAAGGGCGTTCAGGGGCCTTAAATGGGTTCGAAGGGGTTCCAAAAAGGGTTAAAAAGGGAATTCAAACAGGGATTTGAGGGTTCAGAGGGTGTTTTTGAGGGGTTCAGGGAGGGATTTAATGTTCAGAGGTTTTCCAGGGCTTCAAAGGAGATACCAAGGTGTTTGACAGAGTCAGAGGGGTTCAAGGGGATTCAAAGGGTTATTTTTTAAGAGGGTTCAAAAGGGGTTTAAAAATATATGAAGGGCATTTAAGGGATAATTAAAGGGGTTATGGGGGGTTTAAAAGGGTTCCAAGGGGTTTGGGGGGTTTAAGGGGGTCCAGATTGGCTTTAAGGGGTCAGAAGAGGATTTTTCCAGGGGTCTAAAAGGGGGTTGGGGTGGGGAGGGGCCAGTTCCCAATCCAGGGCCTCAGTGACCCGCAAACCCCCCGTGGGTCCAGGCTTCTCCTCCTGGAGGTGCCCAAATCCCCCAGAAATGGCTCCAAATCCACATTTTTGCCCGCTGTGCTCTGGGGGAGGAGGTGACCCCAAACCCTGCCCTGCCCCCCCGGGCTGGATCCCCCAGATCTCCCGAGTCGGTGCTTCCCGAGCCACGGAATTCCCGGATTGATCCCACTGGGCTCGGTGGGATCCAGGTGGGATTTGGCCTTCTCATCTTGATTGGATTCGATCCACAGGATTCAATGGATCTGGCCCCTCGCTGGTGCTACTGCCCCCCTCCCTCAGGCCCCCCAAAACCCTGGGGGATCCCCAAACTTCCCCCCACCAGGGCCCCCAGAGTGGCTTCGGAATTTCTAATGTCATTTTAATTTCCTTCTTTATTTTTTTTATTCTCTTTTTTCTATTTCTTTTTTATTCCTTTGATTTTTAATTTCATTTTTCTTTCCTTTTAAATTTAATTTTTATTTCTTTTTAAAGTTCGTTTCTATTTCTTTTCTCTGTTTTTATTGCCTTCTTATTTCTTTAACTTTTACTTGCACTTCTGTCTTTTTCAATTCCATTTATTTCCCTTTTTATTTCCTTTTAAATTTCCTTTATTTTTTTCTTTTTCCTGTTGCATTTTAAATTTCATTTTTCAGTTTTTAATTTCCGTTTTAATTCCACATTTAATGCTCCCAAGTGAATCCAAAGCTTCTCCCCACTATTATTCATTTTTCCCGCTTTTCTGCAGTTTCCCGGGATGATGCTGTATTTAAAGAGAATATTTAAGTGGAAAAAATAAAAAGTGGTTAAACTTGATGGGGAGTTGTGATTAAAACGGGTAAAATAAAAAAAATTGGGTTAAACCCACTGAAATCTGGGTTAAATTAATGAAATTTGGGTTAAAATAAGGAAATTTGGGTGAAGTTCATTACGTTTGGGTTAAATTCACAAAATTTGGGGTAAAATCCCAACCTTCCCCTTGGATCCCTTCAGAGCCCGGGATCGGACTCGGTCCAGAACGGGCTTAGGATCAGCCGGGAGCGCCCCTGGACCCGGCTGGGCTCCATCCCGTAAATCCCATAATTCTTATCCCATAATTCCCATCCCATCCCATAATTCCCATCCCATTCCATCCCATAATTCCCATCCCATCGCATGGATCCCATCTCAGTTCTAATCCCATGGATCCAATCCCATCCCATCCCATGGATCCCATTCCAGCCATGGCGGCACCGGCAGCAGCGTCCCCGTTGCCATGGTAATCCCCCTCCGCTCTCGCGAGACTCAACTAGGGGGCGGGGCTATCATCGTTGGC